GATTGAAAACATGTTAACCGTTAACACAGGACATTATATTTTAAATTGGTACTCACAAGCTATTAATTTCATGTTAAAATCGCTATATTTTGGACCTGAATGGAACTCAGGAACCCAAAGAATGCAATTGAGAGGCCATAAATTGAATCTAAACTGGAGATTTAAGGCAATCACTTACTGATCATGATGGATTAAGTGTGGATTCCATTGCGCTTCCATCAATTTTGTAACTTAAAAGTCGTTACGGCTAGAACATGAATTCTTAAACTATCGATTTCTTCTCACCTTGCTCAATTTTGTGTCAACATTGAGTCGGACCTCTTTTAGATGACGTCGTGACTTCCTTAAATTTATTGAAACTCGAAGTGGGACATTTAAGGCAAGCACACAGATGGTTTTAGTACTAATAGTCTAGTATGGATTCCGTCGCACTTCGATAATTTTTGCTTTAACTCTATTAAATGTATACTAACTTAAATTAACTTATTAAATAGATCGTTGAAACTCAATGGAAGTGGGACATTTAAGGCATTGCCAAGCACAAGGATGGTTTAAGTACTAATAGTCTGGACTAAGTATGGATTCCGTCGCACTTAGTAATTTATGAGTTATTAAATCGATCGAAGAGTAAACTCTAAACGTTAGGCAATCACACGACAAACGAATCACACAACAAACGAGATTACGGTTTAAGTACAGTGACTATGGGTTCCATCGCACTTCAATAATTTATGTAGTAGTACATAGTATTACTTATTAAAAGATTTGACACTCAGTCTGTTCGGTGTGATTTAAGGATGGATTCCAACACTGTGACACTTCGATAATTTTGGACTCTATCACACTTCGACAATTTATGTGACTTTAAAGACGAAATTGACATGTCATTGTCATACATTGAAATGCACTTGAACAACAGACGTAATGAGACACTAGACAGGGTTGTGAATGACCTCACTGAACAACAGACGAACTATCACTGAGCATTGATTCAGACGTACTACACATGACATTGTGTGAAGGCGAAACTAGAAATTCATCGATGAGTCAATGCAATCACACGGTAAACAAGATGGGTTATGTATGGATACCGACGCACTTTGACAAAAATCATAAATCGATATGACATTGTCATATGAAACTGAAATGCACGTGAGTACCACGGATTCCGTCTCACTTCAAGAAATGTTGTACCCATGAAAAATTAAAAGTCGAAAATTGTATCGGTAATTAAAAGTTCAAAATTGTACTGACACATGCAAGAAATCGCAAATGCAAGATTGAAGTACGTCTACATTAAACGCTACAAGCCAATTATGCATTGAACTACGTCTATAATTAAAAGCTACGAGCCGCAACAATGTAAACTTTCTAAAACGCTATCATTTACAAAATTTAAAGTTCCTACCGATGTCCCCACGTCCCCTTAGAACCAAACCCATATAAGGCATTCATGGACGACCCGAAAACAAGGGTTTGTGGCTGTCCCTTCGTCGCTACCCTCGAGAACACCGAAATGTACTTCATCCTTACAAACCTACAGGCACCTGCCAAGGACTTGCCGATGGCGTCACGCACACAACATGTCACATTTACCTTATGCCACTTATGAACCTCGTCAATTCGACTGGCAATCTCCAAATCGGATTGTCCGTTCTCGTACAGAAGGCGCAAATTCCCCATGTTGGAACCATAGATTCTAAGGTTGTTGCAAGAAACCAGCACTACAGCGTCTACCAAAGTCCGCTTTTGGTTTGAACATGCCGCACACAACACTCCGTAGAAGTGAGGAACCGGCCACAGATAATCGTATGCAACAATATGACACATTTTTTGACTGTATTCCGACACTGCGCAACGGATATACTTCCAAAAACGGATTGTAGGATGCACAGTCCAACAACTCTTATTTCAAGTCTGCAGGCCACACTCGAGGTGACCTCGTGCCGTTGTCCACGCGAACGTAAAACCGGTTATTTTCTTGTTGCCTGAGCGTGGCGCGTAGGGACGGAAGTTGCCTGACACCAATGGCATAATGAGGTACTTTGATCAAACTTCCCCACTCCATCGCGGAAGCAAATTTGTACTCTATGCCATGGACATTTCCTTGCCAAGATGGCTCTATCCCATTCTGCCTCGGACCACGCATCGATAGGTTTGTCAAAGAAGGGAACGACGGTCATCCACGGGTCATTTTTGAACTCTGTTGTATTCGACTCGATTATTTCGGCATCGCCTCCCGAACCACGGAATCCGCAAGCACAAGGGTGAATGGGGCATGCACAATCATGCCGATGGTCCATGACTCCTGTCGCACTCCCTACACAAGACATGAAATGCAAACATAAATGAAAATGAAATATCGAAATAGTACAAAAATCGTCGTAATGATGAACTTAACTTCGAAATTTGATGAACCGTCACCAACCATCTAAAAATATTAAACCGTAGACCGTGGACAAAATTCACTACGCAAAATCATCGAAAAAATAATATGCTCCATTCTGAATTCTCGTTCGTTAATACAGTTATTTTACAAAAATCGCACTCCCCCAGTCTATCGGCCAGACGTGCACTAATCGCTCTTGTCCCCTCCATCTACACTCCCTTCACCAGATGGACCTTCACCAGATAGATTCAGATTGAGAAGTGCAGCTTCAGCATTCAGTCGAACACTGGAAGGAATGGCAAGTCCAGTTGTGAATGGTCTTGTACCACGGACCGGTCTCACCCAACCAAAAGCGATCGAGTCAGCATCCTGCCATTGTGTCTGGTCAGACATTTTCCATCGTTTTTCCCATGCGTTCTCGTACAATTGTTCGAGCGACTTTTCTCTCCCAGTCGGCACCCAGTATTTCACTAGCACTTGATTATAATTTTGCGAATTACAATCAACAACCACCCGAGAAAGAGGTTTGCCCACCCAGATTGGCACACCGCTGGACACATCATCGTCGGAGGGGCGAAGGATAAGAAAAGTGCCCACGTCGACATGCACGAGGGGGTCGAAACTAGTCTTCGGGGGATTTTTTCTTTGTCCAACAAGCAACGGTTCCCTGTCATCGTCGATGTTGACAATGTGAGGAGAAGGTCGTTGATCGATTTCGAGCAACCGTGGTCGTGGCCAAAAACTTCCCTGGGGTTGCGAGGACAACCCGTTGGCGATGATCTCATTGCCATGTTTGATAACCTCCTCCCAATAACACAAAGCTCTTTCTCTCCTACTCACCTCATGGTCATTGTAAGTGCACCACGTCGACCGCCTACTCTCCCATTCTGCCTCGTACCACGCATCGATAGGCTTGTCAAAGAAGGGAACGACGGTCATCCACGGGTCATTTTTGAACTCTGTTGTCATCGGCTCGATAATTTCGGCATCGCCTCCCGAACCACGGAATCCGCAAGCACAAGGGTGAATGGGGCATGCACAATTATGCCGATGGTCCATGACTCCTGTCGCACTCCCCACACAAGACATGAAATGCAAACATAAATGAAAATGAAATATCGAAATAGTACAAAAATCGCCGTAATGATGAACTAAACTTCGAAAATTGCTGAACCGTCACCAACCATCTAAAAATATTAAACCGTAGACCGTGGGCAAAATTCGCTACGCAAAATCATCGAAAAAATAATATGCTCCATTCTGAATTCTCGTTCGTTCAAACAATTATTTTACAAAAATCTCACTCCCCCACTCTATTGGCCAGACGTGCACTAATCGCTCATGTCAGGCACACCGCATTTTGGGGCGCCAATGAACGAAGATCCACGACACACCGGAAATGGACCCGGCCAGCGACACCGTCGTCAACCCCAATAAACCGTTTTCAGGGCAACTCACAAGGCGAGCAATTTTGCGCACTACCAGGCCGCCGGCATTGAAGACGGACGGAGAAGTCCAAGCCGTTCAAAACAACGGTCAGATTCACGCGGAGCCTCGAAGTCCTTCAGGATCCGAATTTGGCCGGTGCTGGAGTAGCAAGGAACCTGTTTTTGCGCGGCCGGTGTCAGTGGAATGGAGCGCCAGCGGGTGCACACAAGGAACGCTATGCTTGGCCGCACGAAAGGAAGGCTCTGCTGCTCTCAAGTTGTCGTTGTACGTTAGCACACGCAGAGCAAAGGGCAGTGGTGGATGCACCACCACAAAATCGGGCGCAGCGCGACCCCAAACTGACCCCTAGTGCAAGAGTTCATCGAGCTCGGACATCTCTACCGCGCAGACAAGAAAAATGTAGAAATTGATGAAAGACCCCCCCTGCAACCCTTCCAAACCCCGATTCGGCCAGTCGACAAGGCGACCCCCAATTCGCGCGCCGGTAACGCCGACGTGCGAAAGCACGAACCGGAAACCACGCAGAAACACGAGCATGTCTGCGACAAGCATCCACGCACCGGAATGGTCAAAACCCTCTGGGGGCAACAAAGATCGACGACACACCGACAAGGGACACGGCCGCTATCACCGTCGGCAACCCCCACAAACCCCTCGAAGGGCATCTCAAAAGGTGAGCAAATTTTCGCACCCACAGTCCTCACGCAATCAACTCACACTTGAAGCTCCAGGCCTCATGCGAGCACTTTTGCGTGCCCGGAGACCTCTGATAATCAGAAGACACTCGACAGCCGTGGCCGTCAAAAACCGCAGTTAAATTTATGCGGGACCTCAAAGTCCGCCCGGATCCGAACTTGGCGCTTGCTGGACTGGCTAGGAACCGGTTTGCGCGGGGGACGACAGATATTTGGATGACCGGTGTGGAATTGCACAGAAGGAACGCTAGGCTTGGTTGCATGGTCAGGGAGGCCCTGCTGCTGCTCACAAGTGTTTGTTCCAACAGAGCACGCACAACAGAAATGGTCGTCGCAGGTGCACCACGTCGAAAATTGGCGCAGCGCGGCCCCCAATAGACCCCCATGGACACCGATTCTCCTCATCGACAAAGCGAGCACTTGCTGCGATCCAGTCGCAAATGTTGCCATCCTTGATGACAATGACTGCAAGCAAAAAAAAAAAATGACCACGGCTGGTGGACCCACGATTAGTACCGCAGACAAGGCGAGCTCGCACTCGGGCAATGGCAGGTTCCACAACCAGGATCATGGGACCACGAATGGGTGCCAACTACGAAGTCCGCCTGGATCCAAACTTCAGATCGGTTGCCGCGTTCGACCGAGAGCATTAAACACTTTGTTTTTGTTGGGGTCCAGTTGGCAAGACTGTTTTTTTGCGGCAACGCCACCGAAAGAACAGTCATGCAACCAGGACTCTGAAAAGATCCATGCAAACCGTAAGCATCTTATTTCAGCGACGCGGTCGAAACAACAATAATCATCCGAGCAGCTCGCGACTTCGCATGCTTCAGATTGCAAGTCCGCCGGGATCCGAACTTCGTCGCACGCTGACAACTGGCATGGCGTTATGAACTATCGACCCCATGCCCGAAAGCTGGAAACTGTGTCCCGCGAAACGTAGTCATCAGGGCAACCCGGGATGGCATTGTGATTGCGAACGCGAAACCAACAACCACCAAACAAAAATAGTGGAGTGGCGTGTGAAGGCCTGTCGAAATGGGAACTTCGGATCCCGGCGAATTACAACAATCATGCGCTATTTTCGTACCTGCGCGTGCTCTCCCTGCGGCCGCGCGACGACAACAGATTGCTGCTTTCGCGAAAGCACTGCGCATGATTGTTGTAGTTCACCGGGATCCTAACTTCCCATCTCGCTAGGCAACCACACGCCACGTGCCGTTTTTTGTTTGGCTGTTGTTGGTTTCGAGCTTGCGGTGACAATGGCAACCCCCCTTCCCTCGATGACTGAGACGTTTCCCGGAGGCGGCCGGGTTGTTCGTTATTGAACGAGGCCATGTTTTCGTGTCGAGGTTGTCGTCACGAAATATGCGGCGCTCACGCCGAAGAAACGCTATCGTCATTGCAGTGAGCGGTGCAGGAGTTCTCCATCGCGCGCACGCAACGTGTGCATTCTTCGTTCTGCAGCCCGCGGATGTTACGCGCACAGTCCTGGCATTTGTCGTACGGAATGCAATATCGCATCCCTCACGACCAGCGCGAGGAGTGCGCGCTCAACATCCATGGCCTCTATGGTGGATCATGTGCTTGTTGTGTGCGCGGGATGGAGACGACAGCAACTCTCCCGGGATTGACGCATAGTTTTTTTTGGGGGGGGAGGCTCAAGTGTTGCGGCGAGAACACGAACACGGAACGACGACCCCCTCCTGTTTATGAATACCTGACCTCTCACTGCACGCAACGTGGACGGCGGACATCCTTCCCACCGTGGCCACCGCGCGACGCTTAGTACCAACAGTGGTCGCGCGCAGCCCATGCGTCTCCTTTGTGATAACCAACCTGTAATCTCTTTGATGAGAACAGCAAACGTGCGAGGGAAGTGCTTCAAAGGGTTTTCGTGTTCTAATGGGAATAGGCGATTTCGTGTTTGCCTCGACCGCGCGGGAGTGGTTTGCAATGTTCAGCTTGTGATCAACGACCCTTTTTCTTCAATGCCAAGCCAAACAAGAATCGTGGGGGCAGTTGCGTGGAACGAATGAGAGAGAAGCAGAACGGGACACGTAAACCGTGTGCCCCGATGTCCACGTCATCCGTTCCCGCCGTCCCAGCCAACTGCGACACGTGGCACGACATGATGATAATGATGACGACGGTGATAAACACGATGATGGTGACGATTACGTTGGTGATGTTGATCTGGACGACGATGTCGCTGATGATGATGACGATGTTGATGACGATGATGATGTCGATGATGATGTTGGTGATGCTGATGATGGTGATGATGACGATGATGATGATGACGATGATGACGGCGATGATGACGATGTTGATGATGACGATGACAACGAAGATGACGATGGTGGTGATTTTGATGACGGCAACGATGTCGCTGATGATGATGATGTTGTTGATGACGTTGATGATGTTGATGATGATGTTGATGATGATGACGATGTTGATGATGTTGACGATGTTGATGATGATGTTGTTGATGATGATGATGATGTTGATGAAGATGATGATGATCACGATGACAATGATGGTGTTGATGATGATGATGATGATGAAGATGATGACGATGATGATGGTGGCGACGATGATGGTGATGATGGAGATGATGATGATGATGATGATGGCAAGCAAGAATCATGGGGCCGCTCGCGAGGAAAGAACGAGCGTGAATCAGAAGGGGACACAGAAACCATGTGGCCCAACGTCACTGACATCCTTTCCCTCCGTCCCCGCAACTTGAAACATGTGGCGCGACACGGCCGCTCCCATGGGCCGGCAAACATGCCTGGCTCACAGGTGTTCGACGAGGCGCAGTTCTTCGATGACGGCGAAGCGCACACGATGGCGCAACTGTTCGATAAGGGCTCAGCGCAGACGGCGGTGGCCACTTGCTGACGCAGGACGCAGAGACGAGATGTCGAAGCGCAGACAACTGAAGCACAGACGACAGTTGTTGACGAGAGGAAACCCCTGTGCCCACGCCCGCTGCCGCCTGGCGCAACAGCGGAGCAGAAAAGGCGATGGAGGATGTCACTGATGGGACGTCGAGCGCGAATGCGCTCGTCAGGCTCGAGATGCGATAGGGCTGCCCCAGACCCGAGGCAGCTGAGCGTCAGACTGTCGTCGCACCCCATAGAAAGACCCGCCTGTGTCCCCCCGCACGGCCACAGACCCCGCTCGCCAGCCAGGAGACACGAATGGCTGCGAACCCCTCCAACCTCCCCTTTCCCCCAGCCCCCC